ACCTCATCCCTTCATTTTCGTGCAATGTATGATTTCCCTGTGGAACTCCCCCCACCAGTTCACCCATGCACATCGCCACAGTCCCTTGTGCTCTTCCCACTTCTGTCCTGATCCTAAGAATGGCAGAGATCCCTTCTTGTGAACTTCATGATTTTGTGTCATCTCTTTCCTAAGTTTTCAGGGTTCCCTTACTTGTTCACATCCTCCAAGCATTCCTTTTACTCTTACGCTTTTCTAGGGGCAAACTGGCACACCCGGCACACAGAGCCACCAACCCGCCTTATCACCCGAGGCTGTCTGCTCCAGGACCATATCTGTTCTGAGGGCAGCTCTGGGTATCTGCCTTTCCTTCCTTCCCTATCAATGCAGGCCCTGTCTCCACTCCACTAATTAATTCTTTCATTAATTAAAAGCAGGTAAACTTCAGTAAGCCAGGTTGCTGTTTTTTAGGAGATATTGGATATTGGCAGAAAATGCTGACCCAACAAAGACATGGATTCGGGTAGGCTCATTCACTTTCACTGGCAGAGTGAGGTAAATGTAAGAAAGAGTGGAGACTCACTGTACCTTAATTTAAAAGAAGCCCCTTTTCCTAGGAAAAGAGTCAAGCGCCTATGATGAGTGTCAAGGCTTAGTCCTCTACCATCTAGTAACAGAGGAAACTTTCATCCCTATCTGTCAATGCCATGACTGCATATGTGGCCCAGATCTTTTTTGTAAATTCCAGACTCTAATATCCAGTTGCTTTCTCAGTGAGGTAACCAAAAGGCATGTCAAACTTTAACTACCTAAACCTCACCTCAGGACCAGGTCTGCGCCCCCTCTTCAACTTAACCTGCTCTTCAGTTATCACCCCATCCTCCTGGCTCCATGGGAGCAAAAGCTCACAGTCAGCAACTCTCCCCTCATCCAGTCACCGCAGACTCTGTCAGCTCTGTCTTACTGCTATCTGCATGAAGTCAGAGGCTGCCCCCCTTTCAGAGGTTCTGGGGAAAATCCATTCCCTTGCCCTTTTCAGTTCCTGAGCCCCCCGCCCCCCAGCACCCCCTGGCTCATGGTTCCTTCCACACTGACTCCAATCTCTAGCTTCTATCACTGTTACCTTCTACCAGATTTGCAGGCCCCCTTCTCTTCCTCTTTTCAGACCCCTATGATTACACAGATCTGATCCAGATAACCTCCTGCCTCACGATTCTAAATCACATTAGTAAAGTCCTTTCATCATCAAGGTAACACATTCACAAGTTCTGGCAATCAGAAGGGGAACATCTTCAGGCGGGGGGTCGGGTGAGATACTGTTCAGCCTACTACCATCTCACTCACAGTAAAACTGAAAGTTTTCAGAAGGTTCCTCCAAGGCTCCATGTGATCTAATTCCCATTTCCTGTCTATGTTCATCACTCCCAACTCTCCCTCTTGCTTACTCTGTTCCAGCTTCACTAGGCTCCCTGCTGTTCCTCAATACACAAATCCACCTTGAGGCTGCTGCACTTACTGCTCCTTTCAGTCTTTGCCTACCTGACAGCACCTCCTGAGTGAGGTTTCTGACCACTTCCCTCCATCTGGACACTCACCTCCATGTTTATTTTTACTCCTGAGCCTTTATATCCAATATGCTCACTACTTTCCATTCACGCTCCCCTGCTTGAATGTCGTAAGGGGTGTTGCCTCCTGTTCTTTCCTCAGCAAATAAAACATGAAGCAGGGGCTCAATAAACAGACACTGGTTAAGCGGATTTTACTTTATTGGAAAAGTTCCTTAGAGACAAGACCTGGTCTAAAGTGGGAAGTTAATAAATGTCTCAATGAATGAATAACTGAATGGGTGAATGACAGACCCAATTTATATCTAATTTTCTATAGGTAAATGGAGTAACATAAAACTCCAGTACTTTACCATTTACCAATCAGACATAAAGGTGAAAGAAAACTTATTCAGGGAGGCGCAATAAATGGAAGGTAACAGAATTACACATTCAAACTCCAACTTAGGCCCTGGCTTTATTTTGCTCTGTCCCTGCATATTTTTAGATCTGTCAAATCAGAACTCTTCTGGGTTCCCTTGCTTGGCTCAAATGCTCTTACCAATGAGGTTTCAAGTTAATAAACTCCAACTTTGTTCTTAAAGGAAATTTCATAGTAATCTCTAAAGCATTTACCTTGCTGTTTCAGATATGCAAAAAAAAATGAATATACAGAGGAGAAATCACTATTCATGTTTTAAAATGCACCCAAACGCAAACCCGCAGCCAGAGGATACTGCAGGGACAGATATAATAGACTCCAAGCACCGCAGTTCTGTTACTGCCTAGCAGCCAGCCAGGGCTGCTCCAGATGGTCACCCGAGATACTGGTATACAGGCAACAAAGGCCATTCGTTCTGTGGCTGGATGCGTACTGGGGGAAAGAACCACACGGACAATGCAACTGGTCTGGAATGTTTCCATGGAACAGCAACTTGTTTCAGAGTGGCCGGCTCAGGCTGTCTTTTGTAGGGAGCTGCCCGAGTCCTGCCGCTCAGGCGCCAGTCCTCGGCCTCAGCCTGGCCACACTGTCTCCTCTCTCCTCCCAGTGCCATGTAGTGGCAGAAGTGGGGGCCGGGGTCACGTGTTGTGTTTTATCCACCCATGAAAACTGCTTCTGGAGTCTTCACACTGTCACAAAGATGGAATGAACACAGCACAGTGGTAGAGAACAGGCATCTAGGCCACAGCTGCCAGGGTCCCAAACTCACCGTGTCCCTGAGGATGTGTCACCCACCTCTCTAGTCTCCTCACCTTCACCAGAGCCCACTTACTATTCCTGTGACATACGTGGTGATAGTGCGGGGTACAGCCACCAGCACCATGCCCTGGCACATGAGGCCTTAACAGACTATTACTCTTTTCTTAACTTAAAGGAAAAAAAATCACTGCTCAAAAATAAGTAAAACATCTGTCTTCATTTTGAGTTCAGATTTGCAACAGAAACTCCCAGGGGTTTTCACACTTATCTCCAGCTAAGTGTTTGCCCACCATGAAGGAAAACAGCCACCAAGCAGATGTTGAGATGCTTTTCTAGGGCCAGCTTACAAAAATAAAGTCCTATAAATACTTCCTCATCAATTCTATTCCTGAAAATATAATTTGTATTATATTTTGTTACTGGGGATCTTAACAGTGATGTTAGACAACTAGGATCATATGCAATATTTAAATAGGGTAATCAACATGAGTAGATTTTAAAATATACAGCTAAGATATGTAACAATAGGTTCAACTAGGTATTTTGTTAGAAAAACAAAATTACCTGTAGAGATCATTTGTTAATCTAATGCTTTGTGCTGTCTTATTACTGGATTAATGTAATAAAATGAGAAAACAGACCTTCTGTTTGTCTCTAGCAGTCATAGTAAACAAGGACACATGTCAGAGCACTGAGTAAGTTCTGCCATATTAGACGAGACTTCGTTTCTTGGGTAGAGATTTAATAGGCTGGGGAGAAATCCTACATTTTTATTCTGTAAAAATGTGTATGTGTTAGTAATGCTAACCCCCTTGGTTAGCAATCACTGGTACAGAGAATTTCTCACAGCAAGTTTTTTGCCTTAAAACTTCTGCAAAAATCTTTTCTTGATCCTGTAGCCTGTTCCTAAAGTGAGACTGACTATTTATAACTCAATGCAAAGAAGATCCTGAGTTACTTCAGCCCTTGAAAGCAGAGCAAGTTTCGCTAGACCTTTACACTAACACAGGAGCTACCTGAGGGGGGGGGGGTGTGGGGCTGGGAGGGATGAGTCTGAAACACTACATCTGTTGAATGAAGTCACAAGAGTACTTGCCCTTTACACTGGCAGCCCCTATCTGAGCTTTCTGGGCTCTTGTCCTTTACCTGCACTTTCCCATAGGGTAGCCGCTTGCCACATGTGACTACTGAGGACTGAGAGTGGAGCTAGTAAATGTCACACTGGACGACACAACTCAGTCAAACTGCACCTCTTCAGAGTCCACCCAGCACCCGGCTATCCGAGCCCTCCTTCCTTGACGCCTTCGTTCTGCGTATGCTCCCTGAGCACCGCCCATGCGCCCAGCACCCAGGAGGCACCGGGCAGACCAATGAACTAATGTCACATCTCTGCTCTGCTCTCATGTGTGAGCATCCTCACTGATACCAACTGCCTCTTTCAAGGCACCAGACTCATTTGAGGAGCTACTTCCTCCAGGAATTCTGAGTTCAATGTGTTTATTAAAATCAGAGCATTTTACCAAGAGAAAAGCAAATAATCATAGTTTGAGAAAACAATGTAGCTGTTTTGATGAAATCAGCATATACTAAGAACACTTTCTCAATGATAAGGGAGAAGTACATTCCTGAAACTTTTCCAGAAGGGAAGTACATACACAGTAACAGGGTATTTGGGCAGGAGAGTATTTCTGAGGAAGCCAGAAGCCCACTCTGGGCCCAGTGAATGAGCGGGCAGAGTCTAGACACCTAGCGGCCAGGGGAGAGGCACTGAGGTATTCCCAGACAGAGGACAGTAAACAATTCCCACCGGAGACAAGAGTCAGGAGAGAACCAAGTTCAGGTTTGGAAAAGGTATTTTCAAGCAGCCATAACAAGCAATTATTTGGGGAAAACTGTGAAGGGATTCAAAAAACTAAAGTGTTATAAAATGACTGAATTTTTAAAAGATCACCTGTTGGTAAAGAAGGAGCCACAGGTTAAGACCATTATCACTGATTCAGGCTCTTTCCTGACCATCCCTGCAAGCACCAGAGCAAGGTGGTGTTTCAGCAGCAGCTTCTGAGACAGTGGGTGCAGCCGCTGCTAACAACGCAGGACAGGACAACGCCAAAATAACTGAAAATGCTGGTCCATGACCAAAGCTACTAGAAATGATCAGAACTGGGTGCCCCAGTGGAGGGAGTTTACCAAGAAAAGTACAGTTACTCAGAATTGCTGCATTTCGATCATCATTATTAATTAAACTCAGAACTAAGATGATTCACCAGCAACCTTACCGAGTTCTGGGGGCAGCACGGTCAGGCGATTCCCCTGAATGTGGAGTTCCTTAAGCTGAGTAAGCTCCCCGATTTCCTTAGGCAGCGAGACCAGGTCGTTATCCCTGAGGCTGAGCTAAATATAAGAACACAAGGGGTTGTCAAACAATTTTCACATAAAAGGCACTCCACAGAAACTCTTGTCCTCTCCCAGGCCCTCTCTTCGAAGGCTCAATCTTTTCCATTCATTTACAAGGGTCTGTGGATGAATAAGCACCAGTATCGGGAGTAGTGGTTTATTCCTGCAAAACAAACCATACTTCTGCTTAAATCGACTTGATTCTACTCTTACAAGGGCTGCAGAAGTGAATTGATTTTCTAAGAATTTAGATAAATTACTTACTATCTGCAACTTTGTGAGCTTCCCAATATCTGCCGGCAAGGTCTCAAAATCGTTGTCACTTAGATAGAGTGCACGCAGGGTGGCTGCAAATTAAACAGCAATATATAAACAGGGTGGCATGGAACCCAACCATTTGAGGTCTGATCAATACCAGGGAGTCAGCTTTGATTAATAACCCCGGCTTGGTGAAAAGCCTGTGACATACCTAGGGCTCACAATAATAACAAGCAGGTCAAACTTAGATTTACTAGCTTATTGTGGAGCTGGTATGTTCAGGAAAACATCTATATCCAGCAGGACTGACACAATTAACAACCGTGGGCACTAGCAGTTTTTGGCATGAAGTTTCCACAAGTGCTCAGAAAAGATAACTACCATTTTTCCCCTATTACTTCCGATTCGCATTTATTACTGTTTTTGCATCCAAAGTAAAACAAAGAAGACCACGGTGTCACTTTTATCAATACTTAGAGGAAGAGAGCTCTTTGTATAAACAGAGCTATGCTAAAATAAATAACTAAAAGGCATCCCAAAGACGGAGGCCACAGTCATGGTCGGCTGTTTCTGGAATCAGATGAATTATTATTACTTGCTTCTACAACTTTAACAACAGCAATAAATGAAGACCAAGGAGCTAAAGCAGTGACATGGAGTTTTAAAAACAGAGAAAACCCCAGCTTAGGTGAGCAGCTGTAGTCAGACACTTACTTACAACGTTATACAATAATAACACAATTCCGAACTACTGAAGAGTAAGATCTGAAAACAGCTTTTATCTTCAACAAAAAAGAACATAATTAGATCTGTTTCGTTTGTTTACAGCTATTACATTCTAATATTTTAAAACTCGACAGAATTAATTTCCATAACAGAAATAATTTCTTCTCTGACCCAAGAAAATATTTTAGAATTGGCTTCCAATGGTTGAGAAAGTCTGGAAGTGAGAGCATATACAAGATAAAAACTGAAATTTTAGAAAGTAGCTCAGAAAATTCAGATTTTTCTGGATGCTATCTATGTCACCAGTGGAAGAAGCAGAAGTCACTTAAAGGAAACAACTCTTTCCTAAATATTTCATGAGTTCTTAATTGTTCTTCTTATTTTTTTGAGCATCAGCAGCAAAAAGTTTGTTTGCATATGAAAGGATACAGTGTGTTCACCTGTGACTAACAATTTCTTGATAAGTGGTTATATACTAGACAAAAATAGAATACAGCAATGAAAATGGCTGAAAGGCTTAAAACAAGCATCCTGGCTGAAACGTCAAAAAATGGAGATTTTCATAAATAAATGGAATATCTACAGGCAAGTAACCTGTATTTTTTTTTTCTTTTAAACATGCTCTTTAAAAAGAAAGTCAAGTTCCTCAGCTAAATGTGAGACTTGATCTCATTTAGGCACATAAGCTCTATCGGAAAGTTAATATGACATTACTGAGTCCACTTCAGCGGAATGGTGTCAGCTCACTATATATCAAACATACATATTGCTGAGCAATGAAGGAATATGCAAAAGGAATCTGTGAAGAAAAAAATATATATGTCCAATAATTTCTCTTGGAGTTTGGGCCCTGGCAAATAAATTTCATTTTTAGAACGCAAAGTACCATTTTAAGGAGATTTATAGAATTAAAAGTTTCTTACTAAGGTAGAAGAAGTTTCCAGGAAGAGACTTTTCATACAAGTTGTTGTAAGTCAAATCAAGGACCTCCAGAGCTGGTAGGGAGCCAAATCCTCGAGGCAAGGTGTTTAATCTATTCATGCTGTAGTTGGGGGAGAAAATCCAAGACATCAGACACTAGACATCAGTGTTGATAGGCTTACTCAGACCACCTCTTCCTCAGGCCTACGAATGCCATTGCCCTGTAATCATTTTACAAATTTTGAAGCAGCCTAATAATTTTAGTGGAAAACAAAAACAAAAACAAAAACAAACAAACCTGTATGTTTAAGAAACATTTGAAAATGTATTAGTTGTCATCTTCTTCAGTGGTGAACCTCAATCATCGTTTCTCAGAGAAACTTAAATCATCATAAAATATCTGTTCTTCTAGAGAAAAACTTGTTCACTAATGCAGCAATAATAAGACCTCCAAAGATAGATCTAAGCTTTAAAGATTTCAAACACTTCTTTATTTTCTCCAATGGGGAGAAAATCACTGTTTTGTTCTATCACCACTAACACTGATACAGAGCTATTGATGGGAGTGTTTCCATTCTGCAAGATGAGAAATTCCTGGAGACTGGATGCACTAGAGTAGAAACATATTTCCCACCACTGAATCTAAACCTGAGATGGCTAACATGGTAGATTTTATGGGTGTGTGCTTTAGCATAACTGAAGATTTAAAAATCTGTATCTACAATAAAATCTATGGAAAATTTGTCTACTACTGCCTCTTATATTTTCCCAATGTGGTTCCCTTTGAGTATAAAAGCTGAATTTTAAATAATTCTTTTAAAATATCTAATAGAAGATGACACTGAAAGGTGGGAGGGACTTTGCCACTAAAAATAATTCTCAGTATTGCTCTTCCCTGTGTTAGATATAATCCAGGCCATCAACCACACCTCATAGAAAAGAGATGATAGCAGAAGACAAAGCCAAGAGAAAAGGATTTCCACCTCTTGACGGGCAAATTTGACATTTAGCAAAATAATCTCTACAATTTGCCATAACATATCAAAGAACTTATTTTTCTATGAATTCAAAAGTTGTGAAGCATATTTATTATCAAGAATTTCACCTGGATCATGAAACCTATTATGTAATGCATGCAGGGCTGTGCTGACAATTACCTAAGTGATTGTGACATGAAGAACCAACTGAGAGAGGTAAGTAATAAGAACTTTGGGCTCTACTGATGAGGTGACAGTTTCAGAGAGCACCCTGACCTCATGGAGACCATACCACATCCCTGGACTCTGATACGAAGAGCTGAATAAAATGGAAGCAGTGTCAGAGACAGTGGGAGAGACAGAAATATATATTAGGTGCTTCTTTCTTTAAATATTGCTCTTGGTTACCCATATTTGAAAGTAACCAATCAAGTCTGTCTCTCCAAATAAAGAAGTCCACCTCTGAAGCATAAGGCTCAGGAAGTCTTGGTCAGAATTCCTCAGTGGAGCAAGGGTCTAGAGTCAGGGTGACATGGTCCATCTCCAGGTACAGGTACCTGTATAACTGCAGGTGGTTCTCTGAGCAAACCAAAACCCCCAACTTATTGGGGAATACAGCAGAGCCCTCCTCCCCCATGTACTGTATAGTGAACGTAGGAAGCCCACTAGGCCAGCAGGCAGAAAGGAAGCTGTAATGTAGGCCAAAGCTTCAGAAGGTGCAGAAGCAATGGGAACAATGGGCCCAGGTACAAACAATGCAAGAAGTGCGTCTCTTTGCAGGTACAGGGTGGCAACATGGCTTCACCCACAGAGGGTGCTCAGTTCCCTCCACATCCACCACAAGGGGGTGAGGCCTGCTCTGAGAGTGCTCTGAGTGAGTACTCAAATGTTTGCATGAGAAGTGGCAACAGGTGTAAAGAAAAAAAAAAAAAAACAGTAGGTTAAGAAATCTGGTCGCAGCACTGGCCAGCTGGGTGACCCTGGGGGAGATACTCCACTTCTCTGAGGCCCGGGGAGATACTCTACTTCTCTGAGGCCCAGTTTCTTCAACTGTACAATAAGGATAGTGATACTTTCCCAGCATCATGGCCAGGAGGATGAGGGAGCAAGCGCATGAATTCCCTAGCATAATTCCTGGTTTCCAGGGGGTAATCACGAAATGAGAACTGTAACTGTAATTATTTTTTGGAGAGTAGAGGTTAACTCGAACTGCCAAGCATGGGTTTTCCACCTGTACTACATCAGCTCAACTATGCCAATGGTATAAATTCTTGTTTGCATGCTATCATTTTTCAAATGCATATTGGAAATGGGAAAGCACCAGCATGTGATGACTAAATTTATAAAATCAGAGTCAAAGGTGTTCGATACCTTCATTCTTCATCTAAAAGCTATGACAGCCCATACTAATACCTTTCTTTTAGACGGTTTTGATCTTGGAGGTCCTCTTCGGCTCATTCTCCTTCAATAAAATGGTTTTGGCTAAGGCAAGAGTGTCTCTCACCTACACAGTAACCTACTCACACATTCAGCCAAAAAAAAAAAAAAAAAAAAAAAAGAAAGAAACAGAAATCCAAATCCACAACACTCAATACTGTACTCAGTGAAAAAAACCTTTCAGCGTGCACAAGAGAAGATCAAGCATCTCTCTATGGGAACGTGATTCCAGAGTTGCCACTGCCATGAGATTATCCCTTGACCAATACTAGCCCATGTGGCTTTATTTACAGAAACAGCTCTGCAAGTAGATACAGGAACAGAGGAAACGAACGTCAAGTAGAATAGAAATTAGGAAGATAACTGAACTTACCTTTTCTTGGTCAGATGGCCTAAAAGCTACTTCCCATCTACTCAGCCATCTCAGCCAACACTATATAAAACTTTACAGGTAACATCTGGCTGGGCCTGCTGTTCGGATCTGCACGCCTGTGGCCTAACTGCTGGGCTGCAGGGTCTCCTGCAAGTGTGTTTGTTCTAGTTGCTTATTTTAAGGTGCCCTCTCCATGACTTGCCTTTATCAAGGCCATGCAGGTATAATTCTTTCTGTCATTTGAGGACAGAAGTATCCTTTACTGAAGCCGATCTTCATTCCCTTCACAGACAATTAAGAATTTAGTCCAGACTTTGACAACCCCATCTATGCAGCCAGGTAATTAAATACAGAAAGCTTTATACAATCAATAAGGCACCGACAGTAAGACAGGGGAACAGCTTCGAAGGTGACAATGAGGCACCTAAGAAACATCTGAAGGAAAAAAATTTTGTAACTGCTCTAAAGTACTCAATGAACACACCCGAGCTCAACTTCTGCCCAAGGCTGTCTGCACCTCCATTTCTCGTTCAGGTGCTCACAGCAGTATCCAGCCCACAGCACCCAGCCCACCCATTATTGTCTTGCCAATTTTGCCTCTGATATATTTCTCATATAAAACCCCTCCTGTTATAGATCAACATTAAATTGATAAAACATTATCAAAGAGAGGTAAGTAAAGAGATTCATTAGTCATGCACATTTCGTTTGGAACTCTATCCCCTCCCCAAGGTTAAGTAGATTTCACAGTAATGTAACATAATATTTATAGATGATCTATTAAACACAACTCCTTCCCTGTCCCACTGTCACTGCCCTGGGGCACTAAGCCAGCACTCAGACAGGTGCCGAGACCTCACCTTGTACCTCCTAAAACCTCTCCCCATTCATCATGATCCTTCATACAAAAGGTGGAATTTATCTTAAATCCACTACTACACCGTGCCGATTCCTCAGTGGTTAGTTAGCAAGATAGAATCAGAGCTCCTGCATGTGACACATGAGCCCCTTCCCAGTACTTCTGACTCTCTCCTGTTGGGGAGGATGATCTGTTTTCAGTCATCTTCCCCAACTGTATAGAACACGCCACACGAGCTGCATGGCCAGTATCCACAGCGGTGCCTGGCACGAGGGCCACTCCTTAAAGGACTGGCAGGCAGCTGTGCCTGTCTGTCCTCGCCTTTCCCCATAGCCACTCCTCGCCTCACACGTCACATTTAGCTTCACCGAACAACTCTCGACTCCTGGAACATGTAGTGCTGAGCTTTTAATATGTCATCCTCTCAGTGTGAGGTGCCTTCCTGCTGCTATGAGTCTAAGGAATCCCTTCTCTGAATCCAGTCTCAGCTCAACACTAACCCCTGCAGGAACCCCTCCGAGATTCTCACCAGAAGAGTAATGTGTTCATGGCCCTGCCCCTCCCGTGACCACCGCACCACCCCGACACATCAGCATCATCGTGTGCTGCTCTGTCCATTCACAGCTGGCACTGTCCCAGCCCGAGGCCTGCACTGTGCTTCAGGGGGAGCCCCAATGCCAGTGAGGTTCCTGATGGAGAAGCACTTAGAGCTCACAACAGAAATGAATGAATAAGTAAAATGATAATAGCAGCTAACAGTCTCTCTGTGAGTAGGTAGAAAAAGCCAGCTAACCTAAGGTGAGACTAACTTACCCTCAAACTTGACTTTCCCTAAGATATCACGAAAAACAAAGCTCATGGATTTTACAAAGAGTGTCTCATCCAGAGTGAACATCAAAATAAATACCGAACCAAACTCTCCATGGAAAGAATGACCCAAAAGTTGTTTCATGAATGAGGTTTGCTTTTCAAGTTTGCTTCCTATTGAATCCATCAAACCTGGCAGCTTTGAGCAGCGCTCCATGTAAACCACTGGCTTACCTATCACACTTAATGGGGATACTGACAATTTAGTAAGCTTATTATTTCTCATAGGGGGTGCAGCATAAGTAGGCAGTTTCATCTAATATGCGAAACAAGGAGGCCAGGATTCAGAAGGTGGATTTCCTGGTGGCGTGCTGGCATCTGCTAGAGGCCAGGGCCTCAACAATAGGATCTTCAGCCCAGGTTGGCCCTGAAACTCAGTGGCAATTGGGAACATTACCTCTTCTGGAAGGGCTTGTTTTCCATTCCACCAAATGAAAGCTAAAGTCTACCATTCCTCCCTCATCATTATTGAGGGTCAAACACTGGCAGGACTTTGAAAACTGTAAAGCAATAGATGGTATTATTTATTCACAGCTACCTGGTTCTGCAACCTCAGCTGCAACAAACTCCTCTTTTCACCTTTGTATAAATGAAGACACAGGATTATACCCTCTCGACGATAGAAGAATTGTAAGAATATATGAAGTGGTGTTACGAAATGTAGCTCCCACCACTCCACAGAGGGAAAGTGCTTTATGATCCATTTATACGTAATACAGAGAGAAAAATCAGCCACTGGCCTCCACAGTCAATGGTACTCAATCAGTGTAACTGAGTTTACATTTTACTGGAAACAAACTACAATAAAAAATCCCCGAATTGTGTCAACAATTAGCTCCCAATACATATGCACTAGTGTAGGCCATGAAAGAAGGTAGGAAAGCAAATTTTTTTCAAAAACCTCCAACATATGAAGAATTTCACGATCGCCTCTCCCACGCAACCTCTAAAGGCAGCTCCCGCCTTTCACCCTCGCCCTCCTCCCTCGTGTCCTTCCTCTGTCACTGGTACTCACCCAAGGTTCAGGTGTTTGAGTTTCTGAAGACTGCTAATCTGTGTGGGCAGATCCTCGATCTGGTTATTAAAAAAGTTCAGCACTTCCAAATTTTTCAGTTCTGCGATGTTTGCTGGCACAGCTACGGGACAAAAATGCTGCGTGTGAATACTGGAACCGCACTCCTTGCAGGAACGCCAGCAACACGCTTTGCCTGCATCGAGAGAGGAGGAACTCCAACGGCATCTAATATCTAAATTCATGTGTATGTCCCTCTGGTTTTCAGGTAGCTTTTTCCTGGCTAGTAACTTACCACCAAGTACAAGTAAAAATGTTTTTAAGATTAGGGAAGCACATGGCATAATCTGTATCAGCGGGATAAAGAAGCAGGAAGCAGGCAGAAAGATGAGAATGTGGGACACAAACAGCCAGTATGTGAGCACCGTAAAGAATATATACTTTTTCAATGGCCACATAATGTCTAATAAGTGCAGCTATTTCCTTCCTTTGGCTTCCTTGTAGTTAGTTCGACTAGAGCACAGTAAAACTCCAAATCCCTGTCTAATGATGCATATTCATCAAGCGGTTTCAATCATCTCTTATCTGTAGGGTCACACCATTCTTGTAACACTGCACTAAATCACAACTTAAATTCAACCCTAAATGATGAAATCTTCACATTTTCTAGTTTCTGATTTGAGCCTCTGGCATTCACACCCTTGAACCCCTCCTCCCCCCACCCTACACACACACACACACACACCCCAGATTAGTAACAGATCAATGTACTGCATTAAACAGAAATGTGAAAACTCCAGGGCATGGCATGAACACGAGTGTGCAGGTCAAAGGTTAAAACAAGCTACAGGACCCTGACAGGCTCTTCCTCCCCCGAAATACTGATAAATGAAAATTTAAAAGCTAAAGCTCTCTCTATCTCAAAAGTACTAATTCTCACTAAGTCCAGAAGGAATTTCAACAGATCATTCTTCATCTGTACCACCTGCTGACAAATTCTTTCTACAGGCATTTGTTGGCCATGAACTTCTCTATGGTTCAGGTAACCTCTAATACCAAGACTTTCGAGGTAACAGAAAACACTACAAGGGACCTCGGCAGAGCACTAAAACAGTACATTATCTTACACCAATGTAATATGCCAGTACATTTTCTCCCATCCCGCCAGCTCCATCCAGGGGGTGCTCCAGAAGGCTGAGAAAACAGAGCAGTTGGCTTAAAACCACTAAGCAGTCAGGTGTAAAACCACAAATACACACCTGAAGAATTAAGGAGACAGCGATTCCAAAACTCCTGTGCTGACGTGTCGGGGAAATCAAGTCAAAGAGGACAGAGTTCCTGCCCAGTAGGGCTTTCTGCCATCATTTTCAGCTTTCTAGAATGTCTCAGGTCCAGATGACCTGATTTATTTTAGAGGAAAGAAGGTGCAGCAAAGGTAAGTGGAGGAAAAGACTGAAGAGTATGAGCCATCTGGACTCAGGTATTTGGAAAGAGGCGATGGTCACGATAGAAATGCTTAAGAGTTATTTATACAAGTGGAGGTGGGAATAAAAGGGCAGGTCTTCAAAGACATGGAAGCAGCTGCAAAGTGTCCTCTGGGTCACCAGCGTGAACACAGCCTGTTGCAAAAGCACATTTCTAGGCATCTAGTCAGTGACACGCTTGTGTGAGTGAGTAGCACTCGTTTTGTGAAAGTGACTGTTTAGACGAGGCTGAGCCTACTGCGTGGCTGGGTGTCAGCTCATATCCTGTGCCCTTGCCAGTCAGGTGGAGTGCATGGGGATACAGCACCCACAGACACAGCACCCTGCCTCCTGAGTGCACCCTTCCCTGTGCCCGACAGCCACATCCAGGGTCCTCTCACTGCATCCATTGGATTAGTTTGAAGAACAATAAAGAAAGTGCAACCAGGAGAAAATGATGGTCTCAATTTAACCACAAACCAAGAATAATGCAGCCAGAATTACTGCTGCCTTCCCCAAGTTACTTTGCCAATGCAATTAAATGCTGGTCTGAAGGTATCGCCTTTTTTGACAGGATGAGAGATTATTTCACTCTCCTTGCTAAATCAGTCCAATTTAAAACCACAAATTATGCTAAATGTGATTTAGGACTTTGTTTTGTGGACACAAACAATAACCCCACATTCAATTTACTAAACCTTCCCTTGCTTTTTGGTGTGCATGTGAATTTGTTTTGTTTCAGGTCCATTCAAGTTAGAAAGGGAGAAAACGTTACACAGCAAATATTCTCCTTAAGCTATTGAAATCTGCCCCTCCACCATCACAGTATAAATCAGAAACATTCAGACCTGTTTGAATGGGATAACATTCACTCTCTCGACCAATATTTAGAGAATGCCTATTGTATACTTTTAGCATCTAACATTTCAAAAGTTTTAGATTAATGGAAGAGGCATACATTTTAAAAAAGGTCAGTCACAGAAAAAGGGGTATGAGAGTCACTAAGCAGAAACAAACCCATCCCACAAAACTGTCCGTACAAAAAGAAACAGTTTACAACATGAATTGTGCAATAAATAAATCATATGCTTACACGGCGTGAGCCACATTACCTGATACGAAAAGGTAGTGGCAATGGTTCGTCAGTCAAAGTATTCTGGTGGAATTGTGCAAGTTATCTACCTGACACTTAAGCAAGAAGAAGTGTTTTAAAACATAACTAAACAGTGACCATCAGTAGATTTCTTATCAGGCCTCTGAAACCTTCCTTTTTCATCAATCTGCTCAACTGCTGTCTGTGACACCAGCTGCACATATATAATGTAGGCGAAAAGGAGCGATGCGCACAGAAGAAACTGCTGTGAGGACAGAGTCCTGGCCTGCTCCACCTCATGGCAGCTCTGGCCTCACAGGACTCAGCCCTAAGCTTGCTGTTGTGTCTTCACTCAACTCACAACCTCTCTGGGCCTCTGTTTCTTCAAGGGTGACAACAGAAGGCTGAGTTATGGGATTATGGGCCTTTGAAAATTCTCTTTTCCCTATCCTTAGCTTTCTATGGTTTTCAGAAGAGGTGGATTCAAAAATCAACAATATGGACTTAAATAACACAACAAACGGAGCCCCCAATTAGGATGCTCGGTCATGTAGAACCTTGCTCATGACAGAGAACTGAGTACCATTTTCTGTCAATGACTAGAGCTTTAATTTGAGACCTCAGCTGCACTGCTTGGGAGAAAGGGCCTAAGCACTATCAGGGGTTTCCTGGCTCCTAACTGCTGCATTCTGCTCTAGTCACAGGCTCCCATGATTGCTGGGACACTGTCAGTCAGAGCTCTTCCCATGCTTTGGGCAATGGATAAAGACATGGTCATGTTATCCCAGGAAATGCATGTCCACACGCTGGCCACAAAGTATCGTCCCACGTTTCTAACAACTCAGACAGGCAGGACCAGCAGGACCCTCCTTTCCTTCAAGTCCTCCTAAATCTAAAACCCTAGTGCTATTATGTGTTGCCACAGATCCTACAATGATAGCTGCAAAGCTTCTGGAGGATTCTACAAGGAGCAGCCCAAAGTGCCTGAGAACTCAGATGTGGGGAACCAAGGAAGGGACTCACCAAATCGCCTGCATTAATATGTCTTCAGAAATTCCCTCGGGCAGGAAGCCACAGAAAGCACTGGCCAGACACAATGGATAGACCAAAGTCCCACCTGGAATTAACTGTCAATGCAGTTCTATTCCTGAGCAGCAGCTTAACTCGTAAAACGACATGTATCTGTCTTCAACAGTTCTATTTATAAGCGACCATGCACTGCGCAGCTGAAGTGTATTCACAAAACCAAAACTCAGTCCTCAGTATGTTTCCCCCACCAGCTAGCGATAGCTAGCTTCCCTCAGAGGAGAACCCAAATTAACTATTGTTCTAAAAGCATTGCATTCTGGGATATAAAATGAATAGTTCCAAAACCAATAAATTATTTTTCAAGACTTTTAATTTTCTACCTGATAACAAAGAGAAGTGTATGCTTTGGGGTGAGGCTGTCCAATGTGTAACCACTAGTTAGAGGAGGAAGAAAATCACTGTCTCTAAGAGATATCTGCATCTTTGTGTTCACTGAAGCATTATTTACAAGAGCTGAGCTATGAAAACCTAAATATCACCAACAGATGAATGGTTAAAAAAAAAAAGTGACACTCATAAAAATATGAAATCCATGTACATGTTTCTGTGTCTGTATCTAAGAGTGCAACAGAATAATATTTAGACACAAAAAAGGAACCCTTGCCATTTGCAGCATGGATGGACCTTGAAGGCACTATGTTAAGTGAAATGTATCACCCAAAGAAACACAAATGCTATTAATACAGTCTTTATATGTGGAATATAAGGAAAACATCTCACAGATCAGAACGTACAGTTGTCAGAGATTGGGGTGGAGGAATTGAATAAAGTTATTAGAAAAGGAAACAAAAAATATTAAAAATCATTAAGTAAGTTTACATCTAGATAAAAATCAAAAAATCATAAATAAGTTCACATCCAGATTCATACTATTTACATTTTCAGAGCTTGACAGCTACAAGTAACTAATGCCACCCTATGGGACAGACCGATACAGAAAAATCCCCATCACTGCACGAGGTTCTATTAGTAACTCTGCTCGCAGTCAGTGAGTCTCAAACCTTCGCATACATCAGAACTACTAGAGGATTCACTAAGACACAGACTCGGGGAGGAGTTACCCCAATCGACTTCAGCAGACTTGGCTTAGCGCCTGAGGCTGCACTTCCAAGTCCCCAAGGGATACTCTTGATGCTGGGCTAGGCAAGATTTTGGTTCAGGAAAAGTTTCATTCAGCATGCCAGCAAAACCACTAGCCCAATACATGTGTACTTGATACAATATGCTCAACAAAATTACCATAGTCCAAATTAAAATGCGCTGTCACCTCTGCAAGTTAGTACGCCTAGGAGCTGATGAAACAGAGCACAAAAGTAAGTTCAGCCAACTGAGGGGCTGCAGTCAAATCATTTCCAGCCAATGTCAACTGCCCATGCAGGCATTCAGGTGAATTCCGCGTGGAGTGTGGTCAACATTCAGCATTCAAAGGGGAAAAGGTACGCATTTCCCTCATCCAGTAAGTCATTTTGCAGCAACTTC